GGGCAGAAGGCCAAATAAATTTGGGAACCTATGCTTTAGACTCAGGGTTCCTCTACTAGGCAAGATTGATAACAAAGATTTTTTTCCCAAAGCTAACACAGTATTCTGCCTTCCCGGAGAGCTGGTACTCCAAATTCAGACTTCCAGTCCCCTAAGCTATGAGAATTGCAACCTTCTATATGGATTACAGCTTAATGCCAAGAAAGCAAAAAACATCCTCAAAACTGGAAAAAGAGCCAACAGCATGATAAACAGAGCAAAGATGGAAGTCAGGGATTTCATCTTGCTTACATCCACAATGAATGCTCATGGAAACAAAGCTGCAGCACAGACCTCTTTAAAGGGTCGACCAGCAAAGGCATTACTTTAAGGACTATGGTGCATCTACCTGTAGCCAGGGGATTTTCAATTGTGTCATGTGCACATGGAAGTTGGACCTTTAATATGGAAGATTGAAAAGGAGTCGAGACATTTGAATTATGGTGCTGACAAACAATATTGAAAGTACCATTGGCTGCCAGAACAAACAGAGCTGTCTTAGAAGGAGTACTGCTCCCACTACCATGACTCGAATTCGACCTTGCAAGTCTGGCTAGACCAGAGGATGTACACTGGTACAGATAGGAACTGAAAATCCAGGGAATCCAGGGCGGATGAGCCCTACAGAACCAGTGATGTGAGTGGTGAAACAGGGAGGGTAAAGGGAGAATGGGTAGGAAAGAGGGAACCGATTACAAGGAACTATATGTGACCTTCTTCCTGGGGGAGACGTCGGACAGGGCAAGATATGACAAAATACCCATTTATAAACTATCAAGGGCACATGTGGGAGGGGAGAGCGGGGAGGGAGGGGAAAAATGAGGACCTAATGTCGGGGGTTTAAGTGGAGAGAAAATGTTTTGAGAATGATGTACAAATGCGCTTTACACAATTGATGTGTGTATGGATTGCGCTAACAGTTGTATGAGCCCCTAATAAAATGTTTGGAAAAAAAAAAAGGATTACTGCTAGAATACTCCTGAGAGGTAAGGATGGAGAGCCTTTGTCTCACCTACTTTGGATATGTTATCAGGGAAGACCAGACTCCGGGAAAGATCCTCATGCTTGATAAAGTAGGGGCGGAGGAAAGCAATGCTGACTCATAGTGACCCTACAGGGCAGAGTAGAACTGCCTCATGACTTTCCAAACCTCTGTTTTCAAAATAGAAATCCTTGTCTTTCTCCTTTGGGGCTGCTCATGGTTTTGAACCGCTGATCTTGTCGATTGCAGTCCAACACATATCCACTATGTCACCAGGGGTCCCTTGATAAAGTAGAGGGGGCAGTAAAAAAGAGGAAGAAGTGTTCTAATGGCAGTGCCCAGGCATTGTAGGGCTGTCTGTTGCTAAACTAGCCTATTATCCAGTGCTGCTACCACAGAAATACCACACACATTTAGTCCCTTACAGTGTGTTGTTGTTAGGTTTAGTTGGTTTAGCTGTTAGGTTTAGTTGGTTTAGCTGTTAGGTTTAGTTGCAGTCTAGATGGTTTCCGCTCACAGTGATGGGTGCACAACACAACAGAAGGCTGCCCTGTCTGGTGCCATCCTCATTTTGCTGTTTGACTTGAGCCCATTGTTGCAGCGTCATTCCAGCTTGTGGAGAGTCTCTATTTTCGCTGAGAGCCCCTTAACAGGATGGAAGGACGCTGCGGCTGCAACAATGGACAACAATGGACAGCAACTAGGACAAACCCATGGTGTATAGTTTAAGTACAGACAGCCCCACAACTCCCAAAGCATGACCATCTCATCCTTTAAACCGGAACATACCATGTATTGTAAACCGACCCTGATTTTAGGAAAAGCTGCAAATAAATAACCTGGTCTTTTTTTAGACCGAATTAATCTAATACCTTCAGAACACTGGATAGTTATAAATAAGCTCACTAAATGTTACAGCAATCACTGGCACTGCATGCTTGGAATTAGGCATCATAAAAATTATGTCATGTGCTCGCTGCCGTATCTACTGCGAGAATGAAGACCATTCTCAGCAACCAGACTGTCCGCATTCCAGAGAATGTGGACATTTCCCTGAAGGGGCACACAATAGGTCATCGTGAAGGGCCCCAGAGGAACCCTGCGGAGGGACTTCAATCACATCTACGTAGAACTCAGCCTCCTCGGGAAGAAGAAGAGGCTTCGAGTTGACAAATGGTGGGGAAATAGGAACTGGTTAGCGTCTGTAGTCACTTACAGAACATGATCACGGGTGTGACACTGGCTTCCGATAGGAGACGAGGTCTGTGTGTGCCCACTTCCCAGCAACGTGCTTATTCAGGAGAATGGGTCTCTTGTGGAAATCCGTAACTTCTTGGGTGAAAAATACATCCGGAGGGTTCGCATGAGGACAGGTGTTGCCTGTTCCCTTTCTCAAGCCCAGAAAGATGAGTTAATTCTCCAAGGAAACGCCATTGAGCTTGTATCAAATTCAGCTGCTTTAATCCAGCAAGCCACAACAGTTAAAAACAAGGATATCTGGAAGTTTGAGGATGGTATCTATGTTTATGATAAAGGAACGATTCAGCAGGCTGATGAGTAAGCTCTAAGAGGTGTCCAGCTACAGTCTAGTTGTTCCTTTAGACTTTCTGTGATGCTTTGATCAAATCCAATAAAGTTTATGTAATGAAAAAAAATTGTCATGTAAACTAACAGTTTGATGCAAATAGCGTTCATTAATAAACAAATTCAAAATAGTAAAGTTGCCTCTTAAAGTGTTACCATAACATATTCTAAACATAGTAACATGAAATACATAAATGCATTTTCTTCTGCAATTTCTTTCATGTAGAATCAAGGATTGAAAATACAGGTTTACCGATTCAAACTGTATCCATTAGATTATATTCTGCTCCTAGAGATCATATCCCTAGTACATCTCTGAGATTGCTCATTTTGGTTTCACTAAAGAGAAAGAACTTGAAACACTAACAAAACATTATGAAAATGTATAGAACTTTTGTTTGCTTTCTTCATAATCCTTTGCAAATTTTCATGCACACATAATTTGAAAGCATTTCAAAGGTCATATTTTCAAAATGGTCTGCATTTTTAACTTTGTTTTCCTAGAAACAACAATTTTCTCTCCCAACTTTTATTTCATCACTTTATGTACATTTAATGCAATTACATAATTACAATAAAAACTGGTATAAACTGGTTGGGAAACAAGCACTTTTGGCAAATGCTCAACTCTGACTGGCAGGAGTAGAAATATGAGGGTGCACTGGAAAGAAGCCGACTAGTTCTAGTAAAGTCTCTGCAGCCTTGGGTCATTACGGGGCTTTTTTTGGTTGTTTTTTTTTTTTGGGGGGGGGTGTCATTATGTTTTGCAGAGGAAGTAGGGAACTTTGATTAATTTAGTGAGTCTAAGAAAACATCTGTTTAACTATTTACTTATTTAACTTCATTAGCTACTAGAAAAGGTAATTGCAAATAAAATACTAATATCTTAATATTATTGTCATGTTATTAAACACAGAAAAAGTTACAGTAATTATGTTCATTCTTTCATGCACCACATAATATTTTGATCAAAATTGTATCTGAAATATCTTAGCTTAAAAAGTGAGACTTAGGCTTGGTGCAGCAATGTTAGCCCTTGTCCCTAGTTAAAATGTTAGACTGACTAATGTATTTTCTGAATTTTGTCTTTGATATGCCCCCTTTCCAAAACACATTGTTTTTAATGCCCCCCCTCCCCGCCCCGCCCCCCCCCCTTTTCTTCTCTTATTATCTCTAGGAACTTCTGCCATCCAGATTTCCACCCTCCTGTTGTCCCTCAAAGCTCTCCAACATCAAAATCACCACATATTTTCTGACTAACTGCTGTTTCTGCCAAGTTAAAGTAATTTTTAAGGTAAATCAACATAAACACTGTAATGTGGTTAGTAACATGAATATGAATACTGAGTTATTAGGCTATCCTATCAAGGAAGTATATGAATTTTAATAGGAATATTTTGAAGATAGTGCTTCACAAGAAAGGAAAGAAATGTGCTTAATAATTTTGCAAGAATTTTAATAGGCATTATGGAAGAGTTAAGAATTGGGAAAAGATTTTCAGTGATTCTACTTTTTATCCCTCTCTAAATCTTAACACTATGAAATCATTCTTCATTCTAGTTATTAGGCTTGCCTTAATTCTTTGCACTAAAGACATACACAAAAGTATTTATACCAATAAAATGAAGCCTTTGCAAGTGTATCTAAAACTAAAAATACTTTTATTTTTACCCAGAAAGCATATGTGCATGTACTCATACATATACATATATGTATATTTTTGGCATATTTATTACAATACAAGGAGGCCTGGGGGTGTAGTGCTTACATAGTTGGATTCGATCCACAAGGTCATCAGTTCTAAACCACCAGCCACTACTTGGGAGAAAGACAAGGGGTGAGGGCCAGTGTAGATTTTCTGCTCCCATAAAGAATTACAGTCTCGGAATCTCACAGGGCCAGTTCTCCCTTCTTATAGAGTTGCTATGAGTAAACACTGACTTGATGAAAGTGATTTTTTTGGGTCAAATGAATGTATAATTGTCAGATGGAAAATGAGCTTGTGATATAAAATTTGTCGAAGAACACCTATCTGATTTTACGACCAGCCAAAAAGGTTACCCTTACAAAATAGCTAGAGGGACGCCCTTAACAGGCACCGAGAAAACCCTAACCTTGAAGCCCCTGACACTCTGTTTTCCTCAAAGTCAAAGATGCAAAAATGAAGGCTACCAAAGGCTTTCTACTCCAATCATTTCTCGGAAACTTTTCTTCTTCCACCCCCCTCTTCAAATTCTACAAGCCACAAGTAGGAGCCTCCAGTTTCCGGCCATGAGAGTTTATAGGACGTTATCAGTAATACCTTTATTACTAAGTAAAATCTGTTATTAAGAAGCTAAAACCGAGGTTAATAGAACATTATACATATCCCATCTATTTACACAAAGATTCTCACCAGTTCTGCAGTTTTCGGTCTGCTGTCGTTGGTTTTCAAGTTGTGTGAGCTGCACTGTTCATCTAAGGGGGAAAATGATTCAACAACTTTTGACTAGAGCAATCTCATGTTTCACAAGTTTATCGTTTTTACCTCTTTAGATTATTCTGAAAAGTTCTTTTCAATTCCACAATTTTTTTAGAACTACTTTCAACTCCTTACATTTCCAAACATGGTTTATTTTTTAAATGTTTTCAATTTTTTTCATTTGTCCTTTTGCATTAGAAACTTATTTAGTAAGTCTGTTAAAAATATATACATATTTACACAGAATTTCTGGATCGAAATGAGATCATCTTCTAGCTTTCAATGCAAGTCCTTAATCATCCTAGCTCATTCAGTGGAGATAGTTTTGTGGCATGTCTTTGGTTCAAAGAATTAAGCATTAACCCTAAGGACTGGCTGCCAACCAAACTGTACCTCCGAACTCTTTCTGCAGCTTTGAAGCCTGAGATAAAACGTACACGCTTCCTTCAATGTTAACCACTAAAAGGAATTATAGAATTGATATTTTCTAAAGACTCTTTCAAAACATATTGGCAATGTGGTTGATGCCCTACTCAGGAATGTTTTCGAAGCCAGATTTGCAAAGATGGCTAAATATATGTACTGTTCATTTTAGAAAACTATTAAGGAGTTTGAGTTGTACAAATGCTAGGTTTCTAAAGATACTGAATTAAGGGCTCTACCAACACAAGGAGGCATAGTTAGAAGAGGTCCATGGATCCAGATACCTGCATCATACCGAGACCATCCATTTCTGACAGTGTCTCATTGAGCAAACAGAGTGGCCCTTGGAAAATCAGAGTAAAACAGCCAACAGAACAACACAGTATACGATTAAGCTAATTAAGTATTGTCATTGTTCTGTAGCTAGGATCAGTAGGAATAATGAACATCTAAGCGAGGCTCTTTAAGATGCATGTTGTTATTTGTTTGCTTTTTTCTGCTTTCAGGCATACATACACCTAAACTGGATTTAATCTAAGAAGATTTAGTATAAATAACATAAAAATGTTTGCTGTTCTTGCCCTCTTGTTTGTCCTAATTTGTTGTCTATTTGGCAAAGGCAAGGGCTCGGACGGAGCGAAAAATGAATAAAATACATAGAATCTTTGAGTTGTGAAGGATTTTTGTTTTGTCTTTTTAAAGATGGCTTCCTTTGTAGACCTTACAGTCCAACAGGGGGAGATGAAAAGGAAACAATAAACACACTACAAAAGTAAATGCAATTGAAGATAGTAGATAATAAGTCCCCCTCCTGCCCCCCACCACCAAAGGCACAACAAAGATGAACGAGAAGAGATTTATACTTTTAAGTGCATTCTACCAAGAAGGGGGAAAGCCCTGGTGTGTGGTGGAAGTTAGAGACAAGTCCTAGGAAAAGAGTCTTACGAGATTTTTTTTATAAAGCCTGGCCCTGAGATGAATGAGGGAGCTAAGCAGTCCCTAAGCAGGACCTGAAGGGACAAGTAAGCTGCATGAAGAAGTGGCCCAAATGCCCACAGTCTCCACTCCTGTCACATTACCTCCTTTCTCCCAGTCTGCACCTATGGCCTCCTGGGGAGTTCCTTACCATACTTTAACTGGAAGAACCCCCATATTGGATCCCTGAAATGTGGAATAAGGGCTATCATGGTAGGAATCACCACCCCTGCATCTTTCAAGTCTTTGATGGTGGCACTGATCGCTGCAATCCCTTTTCTGGTTTACGTTTCTCTGGGGATAGAAGCTGAGCCCTGGTGGTCTAGTAGGTTAATCCTTGGTCCCTTGATGACAAGGTCAGTGGTTCAAACCCATCGAGTGGCTCTGCAGGGAAAAGACCTGGAGATTTGCCTCTCTAAAGATTAAAAACCAATTAGTTTGCTCCTATAAAGATCGCAAACCTTCTAGAGTTTACAAAGCTGCAAACCTTTTCAAACAACTACAGCATACATCTTTCTCCTGAGGAGTGGCTGAGGGGTTCAGGATGGCTGGTGGATTCAGGAGCCACCAGGGGCTGGAGCAGCTGATGGATGCCAACCACTTAGCGTTTTCGGTTAGCAGCTGAACACGTTTAATTATTGTGCCACCAGGACTCTTCTATAAAGACAACCTGAGAGCCAGTCTCCTCTATCATATGGTGTTACTGTATGTAAGTCGACATCAGCCCAACCCCTCACAGCCACAGCATCCTGGGTAAATGCTGGCAGCTCCCTTAACCTCGGGTCTCTGCAGCAGCAATACTGAGATGACACAAGCAGAGCAGTGAACACCACTTCTGTATATTTAGTCTTTAAAAAATAATAAAACATAGAATTACATAAAAAAGAACCCCTTTACCCAGCACCTTCTCACTGCAAGGCACTGGGTTGGGCGTTTTAACATATAATACTTACACGCATGTCCATTCTATGGTTATTTCTACTTGAAAACAAGCTCTCTGTGTTATGTGCTTCTGTCTAGTAATCAATAATTATTTGTTGAGTGAATAAATGCATGAATGAACCCATTATTAAATCTTTTAATTTAGCCAGTAAAAGGAAGAAAGAGGGAAAAAAAACCCAGAAAGCAAACAAACTTGTTCTCTCATGCTCTCGACAGAGGTTCCCAAACTTATTTGGCCTACTACCCCTTTTTCGGAAAAAAAAAAAAAGTCACTCGGCATGCCCTGGCAACTGAAAACTTTACAGTGGAGCCCACCACCCAGGATTGCATAGCTCACTGTTTTTGCAGCCCCCCGGGATTGTTCCAGCGCCACTGCAGGAGCAGTGTCACCCGCTTTGGGAAACACTTGGAAGAAGGACAACTGCTAAATTCTATTTGGAAGACATTGACCAATTTATAGGAGATTTAAAAATCACTCGTTCTTCATGCCCATACACCTTAGTTGGGAGAAGAAACTTTGGAATAAAATAAAATGAGTCTCTCAATCCATTTGTTCTAGTTGCATGACTAGATTCACCTGTTTTATCTTGTTTCATGAACACATTGCATTCTTAAGTCTGTAACCTACTTATTTGTATGTTATGTGTGTGTAAGGTGTTTGGACTTGATTCTACAGAGAAATCTTCAGGCACTTGTTAATAAAATAAATACTTTCATGGTGAAAAAATTTGAACTGCTTCTTCAATTATGCTTTACTTAGAAATCTGTTTAGAAAATCTGACTCAATATGTGTGATTATACAATTTGGTACCTTTCTAACCATACAAAGATAACAGATATTGGCAAATAATTTTGCAATACTGTGTTTTAATTTTATGTTATAGTTAATACTAAAAAGAATAGCTACTATTCAACTTGACAACACACAATATTTATTGAATCCTTATATTCTACTCATGATACTCAACCCATGCGCGCGCGCGCACACACACACACACACACTCAAGGGGGCTCTTCAAAAAGTTCATGTAAAATGGAATTAACAGATAATGGTATTTTTCTACCAACAGTCCGTGTGTGTAAGAGAAGTGGGGGACTAAAAAAGTATATGGGAAAAAATGGAATGAATAGATAATGGGGTTTTCCACGAAATTCTAAAGTCCACTCATATAGCTAATCTTATTTAATTATAAAACAGCCTTATAAAAT